AGGGTTTAAACTCAGGGCATCACACTAGTTGGCTTGCTTGATAAGCTGGCAATCTACCACTAGAGCTACAGCTCCAGTCCTATTTTCTTGCTGCTAAGGGGGATGGAGTAGCGTGAACTTTGCCCAGGTTAGCCTTGAATTGCTATCCCTCAGGATCTCAGGCTAAGTAGCGAGGATTACAACATGAGCCCCGGAGCCTAGGTCCTACCTTCAAAGCTTTTTTTTTTTTTAAAAAAAAAAAAAAAGCTCTCTGTTGCTAAGGTAGACAATGCAGACAACCACTAAGATCACTGGAATAGGTTAGGTTTTACACACATGTGTACACACACATACACACAATTACACGTGTGGTACCAGAGATGCAACATAGGCCCTTGTACCATGTTAGACAAAATGTTCTTCCACCGAGTTCTATTTCTTATCCTAAAAAAATGACTTAAGGAGTTATAAGATAAATGTGATAAAAGAACTGATAATATTCAAGTAGGAAAAACTTTTTTATATTAAAAAATGAAGTAATCGTAACAGGAAGATAGCTATAAAAATTTACCCTGTTATTTTTTTATTTTCTTACTCAAAATTATATACAGTGCTAGGGATTGAACTCAGGACCTTGTGCATACTAGGCAAGTGTATTACCAATGTCTTCAATTCCTAAAAGTTCTTTAATAGGTGTAACTATAAAAAAATATCAGGGGCCAGGAAGGTGGCTCAGTGGTAGAGTGCTTGCCTTGCATGCATGAGGCCTTGGGTTCAATTCCTCAGCATCACATAAGCAGAAAAAAGCCAGAAGTGGTGGTATGGCTCAAGTGGTAGAGCGCTAGCCTTGAGCTGAAGAGCTAAGGGGCAGCACCCAGGCCCAGAGTTCAGGCCCCACAATCGACCAAAAAAAAAAAAAAATCAGCTGGCTAGTTAGCTAATCTCTCAGAGCATAATTCATCAATTCTAGATTATCAGCTATGATATGCCTTTTAAGAGATTTACATTGAAAATAATACTTAGTCAAGAAAAAAATCTGATAATCATCAGATTTAATAAATTTAGAAGAATCAGCAGAGTACAAATATGTGAATTCAGAAAATATATTTAGCTTAAGAAAGTCATCATTAGTTTTCCATAATTGATGCTAAAGGATTCTGAATTGTACTAAAACTATTTGAATATAGCTGTTGAGAATGTATTACACAGATTATCCTTTCTTGTACATAGAAATGTCTACTTGAACAGCACTTTATAATTTCTGAAGAGCTCAAATCATTGGATCCCAAGGCAGGTAATGATCTCTACAGGGATAGAAATCTAAGACAAGGCCCAAGCCCAAAGTTAAATCCAACTAAATACACACACACACTTTTTTTTTTTTGGTGGGTCGGTCATCGGGCTTGAACTCTGGGCCTGAACACTTTCCCTGAGCTCTTCAGCTCCAGGTGAGTGCTCTACCACTTGAGCCACAGCGCCACTTCTGGTTTTCCAGTGGTTAATTGGAGGTAAGAGTCTCACGGACTTTCCTGCCCAAGTTGGCTTTGAACCATGATCCTTAGATCTCAGGCTCCTGAGTAGCTAGGATTACACGAATGAGCTACCAGCGCCTGGCAAAAACCAACCACAATTTAAAGCTAGTGTTTTGGGTTTTTCTTAAACATTAATTCTTTCACAACATAGTTCCAAGACTATGCAGGCTAGAATAAATACCCAGAGTTCTAGGTATACTGATATGGTAGAGACAAAGTCCCTGCTCTCCAGCTTATATATTTTTTTTGGGGGGGTCCGGTCGTGGGGCCTGAACTCTGGGCCTGGGCGCTGTCCTCAGCTCTTCAGCTCAAGGCTAGCGCTCTACCCCTTGAGCCACAGCGCCACTTCCGGCTTTTTTTTATGTGGTGCTGAGGAATCGAACCCAGGGCCTCAGGCATGCAAGGCAAGCGCTCTACCACTGAGCCACCTTCCCAGCCCCTCCAGCTTATATTCTTAATGGAAGAGGGACATAAAAATGGAAACATGGAGAACACAAAACAATTCCATGTGAATGCTATAAAGCAAAAATGGTAATCAGATAGTCATTGGAAAGTAGCAAGAGGTCTAAGGAGATAGTATTTGAATATGACACATCATACTTAAGAACACCTATAAAAGCATCACAGGCCAAGGAATAAGCAAGTATAAAAAGTATCAGAGGCAAGACCTTAGATAGAAAGTTGACCAAAACAGCCGAGGACAAATCTTGAAAGACAATGGTGTGATTAAGTGGAGCTGTTAGGCCATTTGAAAAGTAGGATTTATAGTGTAATTGGAAATACATGAGAGAAGAACTGATTTGTTTTCAAAAAATTATTAAGCTTCTGTATGGGGAATGGATTACTGTAATACAATAAAAAAAAACAGGCACTCAAGCTTCTTTTCCTTAGAAAATACTCCTATACAATGGGTACATGGGGGCTTGTTACTTATGAAACTTTATATATTATATACATTTAGATACAAATTTTCTTGAAAGGTAAACTGTAGAAAACAGAAACTAGAAGATGTAACAATCCCAGAGTGAAATGACAGTAAATTGGGTCAGGATGTGGTTTAAAAGTAATGGAATTTAAGATTATTAGCTGGATGACAGTGGCTCATGCCCCTAATTCTAGCTACTCAGAAGGCTGAGATCTGAGGATCTCAGTCTGAAGCAGTCTTCCAATTAACCAACAAAAACACTAGACTGGAAGTATGGCTAGTCTTGAACAAGCAAATCAACCACACTAAGACCCTTGAGTTCAAGCTGTAGTTCAGGCACAAGATACATACTAGCAGGCTGGAGGCTTGGATCAATTGGTTGACTGCTTGATGTGGAAATGCAAAGTTTTCAAAACCCATAACCACCAAAACAAAACACAAACAAACAAAAAACAACAGATACATTGTTGTCTGACTGAAGAGAGAGAAATCAAGGATAACTAGTGAATCTCAATGAGAAGTTACTAGGTGCGTATGTTTGAAGTCATGTTTTGGTTTTCACAACTACCTGGTAGAGGACAAAAAGGATGCTACTAGCACTTGTGGATAGATCCCAAAGATGCTGCCAAGCATGCTAGAATGCACAGTTGCATAATAAAATAACAATACTGTTGAGGCTGAGAAATCCTAGTCTAGAATTATTTCAATGGTTTCTATTCTATAATGTTCCTATTTCCAGGAAAATATACAAAAAAAAAAAAAAGAAATAGAGGTTCTATCTATATTTAGGAAAAAAACATACCATATTATTTAAGGGCAGATTATATCATTCTGTAGTAAATCATGCTGGTTATGAGACGAGTGTTATCAATTTAATTAATAAAAGGCAAAAGTTCAACTGCTGATCATAAATTGTTAGGCACATTTTATCCAAATACCGTTTAAAGGTCAGTTTAGCAATACACTCAAACTTTTAAGCTTTTGTAAATATAGCTATAATTACATGTCATCCAACAAATTACTTTTCTACGAAAATGTAAAGGGATTGCTACAAACACTGGAAGTGATGGCGAGAGATGGAAATAGTGTAAGTTGATTACAAGACAAATCACGGGCCATTTTGTACGTACAAGCTTATGCCATTTACACAGCTGCGTTACATAGGGCCTTGACCATACGGGCACATGAAAGGTTACGAGGAACACTGAAGTTCCCTCTACGACTAGCAATAGGTAAACTGCCTTTTTAGACTCATTCCCAGGAGACAAAAATCCTCCAAGGTGAGCAAGGCTCATGTTTACCTCTGTTAACTACATAGAAAGCATTTGTGGGAAAGGAGGGGGAAATCACTACGATCTACTTAACTTATGAGCCGAATAATAAAGCTAAGTATCCTAATTCCTCCCTGGAACTGCTATGATTACGATTATATTACAAAGGCCCCGGGAGGACATGTCTGAAATCATTTGGCAAATACAGTACATAACAGAAATGGCCACCCAGGAGGGGGGAAAAAAAAATCCTTCCATCCATTTGGGTATCCAGCCACCAAGTCACTGCTGGTCAAGCAAACGATTGCTGCTTTGAACCCCGCGGACGGCGACGTCCTGCGGCCCGGTCCGACCGACGCCGATCTCAGGCCACCGCGTTTAACACCCAGCAAGTTTCCTCCGGTCGGCTCGCCCACCTTCGCTCAAACAAAAACTACACACGCAGCTCCAGACCCGACAGCGGCCCAGGCTGGCGACAAATCCACACCGCCGACCGTCTACACGTAGAACACAGGGGCAACTTTACTACCCTGGAAATCATGCTGGGCTCCCACTAGGCCAGGCAGACGTTTCCCGGAGCATCACGCGGCGCCCGGGCGCGCTTCCCTCAGGCCGGGCCGCGGCGCCCTCGAGACTCTGTTGCGTGGCCGTCACGCCCGCCGGCGTCAAGCCCTGCCCTACGGGTACACAAAAGGACCCTGCCGGACAAGCCTTCCGCACTCTCTCCCCGAGGCGGCGACCGGTAAGGAACAGCGATGCCTGTTCTCTGCCAGCTTTCCGCCACCCAAGCCCGGACGCCGTATCCGCGCCAGCCTCACCCGCCAACTCAAAAGACACCATTAGCCAACCTCACCGACCCCCCCCCTCCACCCCAACCCAACCCCGACAACACGCGGAGAGGAGGCGCCCGGGGAAGCCGTCCTCTCGCGAGATCTTAACCCAACCCTCGCGATATTCGGCCTCGCCTCTTCCCCCCCTCCCCCCGCCCCTTTTTTTTTTTGTCCCTCCCTCGATCCCTGCTCCTAATTATCTCTTTAATATCTCTTTATCTTCCAGCCCCTCCTTCCTGACCTCTCCTTCCCTCCCTCCCTCCCTCTCTCCCTCCCTCCTCCAAGCCCGTCCAACCATCACACCGCTATACCCCCGCCCCTTTTTTTTTTTCTCCCTTCTTCCCTCCCTTTTATTCAATTCCACTCCCGTCTCCACCTCCACCCCAGCGCGGTTACCTCAGAAACCTCGCGGGATTTCCGTGTTCCATTCCCCGCCCCTTTACGGCACGATGGTCGCGCAAGAATGTGATAGATCCTCGACGGCCGCCATTTTCTTTCTTTCTTAGCAGTTAGCAGAAAGGCGATCTCCGCGAAGGGGGCGGCGGGCGGCTACGGGCGTGTGACCATGGCAGACTACTCGACGGTGCCTCCACCCTCCTCCGGCTCGGCTGGCGGCGGCGGCGGGGGCGGCGGCGGCGGCGGCGTGAACGATGCTTTCAAAGATGCGTTGCAGCGAGCCCGGCAGGTGAGTGCGGACCGCGCGGCGGGTTCCCGCGGGCTCCCGGCGATCG